CTGATAACTAGTGAGATTCAGGAGCGGTGACTGACCTTTGATCATCGGCTTTCAGCTTGGCTTGCTGCCGTGCTGGAAGGAGGAAGGGAAAGTTCTTCCTTATAAAAGCCAACTTCATGTCAGTGTCTCCTGTTAACATTTAGTTTGTTTAGCTAAAAACATGCAGCTTTGAAGCTCCCTTTGTACTGAATTGCTTGGTTCCTTTTCCCAGTGGTACTCGTAGCTCAGAAATTATGATTTCGTTTTTAGTCCATATGTGACTTAAATTTCGATGGATATTGCAGCTGCTGCATTTCCAAGTTTGCCTGTCTCCTAGCTTTCCCCTCATTTTACCTCAAAAACTGCCTTGAGATTTTCCTCAAGGCTGCCAAAATCAATTTTACCTCTTCCTTGGAACCTCCTTAGCCCCACCGTTTAGGGACAAAACCTCTTCTTGGATGCTGCCCAAGTGCAGCTCTGGCTGTGCTCCCCAGAGGGCTGGCACGGTAAGAGCCAGCGGCCCTTCAGACTGCTGCATGCTTTTGCAGTCCTCAGACTTCTGGGAGAACCAGGGCTCTCATGCCCGCTGCTCCTGCCGGATTCGTTCCCGTTCATCCTCCCCTTGTGCTTTTTCTGATCGTTCTTGATGGCAGGAGGGTCAACTGACACCTGTTCAAATCTAGGTTTTAGATTGCTGTCTGCTATATGACCTGGTTCCTCCTGTGACTTTGGAGTAATTTATGCAATCTGAGCTTGACTCCATGTGTTTCTCTGAAATTATTCTGATTTACCCTGATTACACAAAACCCCTTTAGCCCATGTCACTGGTAATGTAGTTCAGTATTAGTAGAACAATAGCAGATAAGTATGTTTGACTTCCATACCCAAAACCAATACAAAAATGAAAACTTACTAACACCCACTTTTAAGGCAAGCTTAAAAAATGAAATGCAGAAAGGGGATCAGAAAGGTCACAATATTTAAAATAAATGCAAATTGAACACACAAAACGATCTCTTCCCAGGATGACAGTTAAATCTGCAATGGCAGCTGCCCACTTTGAACTGTGGTTTTTTGCATTGCACTATTACACTGTAGGTTAAATAACCATGACCTAAGGTCAGTGGCCCATTCAGGAACATGCCAATTTCACACTGTGTCATGATTTAATGGGAGTAACTAGTACTATGGTATCTGGTCTTCTAAACAAATCCTAAATAATTTTAATTTGCCTTGTTAAGAGGATCAGTTAATTGTTTCTGGCAATTTTCTTGTTTGAAATCTAGTCTAATCTTTAAATACTAAGAGAGATATGGGTTTTTATTTCTGTTGGTGTTCTCCTCTGCTTTAGTGTCATGTTTTCTGGTGTTTGACAAGGTCCATACAAGTAGATGTGCAGAAAAGGGGGGAAGAAGTAAATCTGTGAGTAGGTTAACTCAGCTCTGGGATGAGTTTAGAAATGCATCCATTTTCCATTTTTGTGAACATTTTTGCTATCACCTTTAATGGTATATTTTGAATCTGCTTTGTTTAACAGGTCGTGAGACACTTTGCATTTTGCCTGAGCCATGGATTCTTTGGAAACCTGTGTTAGTGTCTCCATTTAATCCATTATACACCACCATTATATAGTTTCCTAGAGAGCACCAAATTTTGATCTGGTGTGATGATTTTGATCCGATACAACTCTATTGGCTCAACCAGTGCTGCTTAATTTTTATAGTAGCATACCTAAGCGATATTTTGCACTGTACTTATGAGAAGAGGCTGGCGACAAAGGCCACCTGCCTGTGAATCTTACTGCCTTTTTGGTCCCTCCCCTGGATTTTGCCACCTCCCTTGGGTTGTGAGTATTGCCCTTAATGACCTGCTGAATGAGCATTAGGAAACATTAGGGCAAGTACCTTCACCACATGCCTGTTGTTAACTCTGCAGATTTATGTGCCACAGCAATAGCAACCAAACTGAAGCCAGGAGGGCCTTCTCAAAAAAAGAAAATTGAAGGCCATTCAAATTCTGGATTTAGAAGCATGTAAGTAATAGGTCAGTGAGCCTGTCAGAATCTGAACAGCATATTTGTGTATTCTGGTGACTTACATATTAAATTTTGGCTCTCAGTAGCATCGCTCAGTAGCCCTCCAGGGCTGAAAGGCCCATCTTTATTGGGCTGAAATCCAGCCATGTGCCATCCTTGCTTAAGGGGAGTTTCTGAGCAGAGGGTGTGGTCTGGCCTGGGTTTTGATGGCTTGAGATACGGTGAGGCTCCAAACTAAGAACCTCTGCTTTTTTAGGTGGTAAGCATATTTTGAAGGTCTGCAACAAGAGAGCATTTAACAAGCCTGTGCTGGAATGAACACCAACAGATTGTAAATTGCAAAGTGCAGTGTAATTGAATCTGATCTCTGGCTTTTACAGACTGTAGTAATTGGAAATTGTCTTTCTTTTAAGTGTATGCCATTCCTAGGATGGCTCCTTCTTGAAACTGTGATCTGATAATTTTTAAAGGCATAATAATGTGGAGTAAGGAGTGGTATGCAGTCCTTTTGGTACTGGTAGAGAACGGCGAAGTACAGACTTTTGGAACTTCCTGCTGTGTCACTGGTATTAAACTAAGTCCTACACTGTAATTAACAGCTTAGCAAACATGAATTCAGTCCTTGAATAGCTACGGCCTGGAGCCCAAATATCAGTGCCCTGTTCAGGTCCAAACAGATGACCTACAGCAGGGCTGAGTGGAAGCAGCCCCGGCTGGCACTTGGCAGCAGGAGGCAGAGCACTGCACACCCACCCCTCCAGCCAGCTCCCCAGGCAGCTCTGTGCTCTCCTGAATATACTCTGCACACCTCCTTAGTCCCAGCCTTTGCCTGAACACTGCCCTGCCCAGTATCTAAGCAGTTCTGTCTATAGTGCAGGGGGTTTAAATTTTGTCTTCAGCCATGGAAATACAATGATCTAAAGGTAAGGTTTGAATATAAGGAAAGAAAGTAAAACAGATGAAGTCCAGAACTGAACACTGTCTTTTGTAATGTTGTAGACTTCCTGTGTGGAGCACACACTCTTTCTCCTCGTATGTCCCTTTCCTGTCTCAATATCCTTTATTTTTTGGTATGCAACGATGGATACATTAGTTGCCTAGATATTGATTAAAAGTCTATTTGTGCAAAAAGCCACAAACAGATTTGAGGCCTGAGGTCTTTAGTGGAGAACCTCAGTGCAGAGCCAGTTTAGCTTTATCAGAAAGAAGATTAAAAGTTATCTTGCTTAGTATAAAGTACTCTCATGGTAAGGTGGTATTGGTCACCAAAAGATGATTGAATGGCTCAAGAGAATGTGTGGAGACTCGTGGAGTACGTCTCAGACATCTGGAACCTGAGGGGTAATTCTAATTTCAAATTAGAAATTTGGCTTAACTTTGAAATTATTTTTATTACTAATAAAAACCTCCTAACAAGTGATTGTTCATATACTCCTCTTTAAGACAAGACTCAATAACTTTTCAGAAGACACATTTTAGCCAGATATTTATTCAAATAGATGGTTATGGCATTTTTATAGGGTTACTAAGTTGAAAATAAATACATTGGAGATTAGAAAGAGTGATTGTAATGGACTATTTTTGCCTTAAACTCTCTGAATCTATAACAGACCAATTTCTGACCTGCATGTGCCAGATAAGTGGAAACTCAAAACTGGCTTTAGATCTAAGCCAACAGCTGTGAATTCTAGAAAATTCAGGATAGGATGGAGGATAAGAATTCCTGTGAACCTTTCCCCACATCTACCTACATTTTCCATAGGGGAAAGAAATATTTACAGTGCTCTTACATGATGCCACAGGTAGAGAAGTTGGCTATCACCTTCTCCTTGTCCTTAAAACTGTTGTTGTGTTGTCATCCCTGTTGATGAGGACATACCACCACTTCTATTGTTGTGCATAGTGAGTAACAGGAAATATCATGATTATGAGGTGCTTTGGAGGGTCACCATGGGAGAGGCTGACTAGCACCTATGTGTTCCAAAGGCTGAGTCTCTTTTGTAGTTTCCAAGTAGTTCAAAGCTGCCATCCACCTGCTCTGTCTGCCAGTCAAGATGATCATGTTCTCAACTTTCCATTTCATGGACTGGAAAGAGCATGAGAATTTGGACGGTGAAGACAATCATTACCTGCAAGTGCATGCTGCCAAGATATGGTTACAAGCTAGGTTTCAATTTCACATTTCTTCTTTGCTGTAACTATTTGGACTGGCTATGGCATTTTGCTCAGTGTTTTTCCTTCATGAAATCCATCTGCTATGGTATCTTCTTACTTAAAAAACGTATTTTGCATGCAAGTCCCCAAATAGCCAATGCTTCCCCAACTCCCACCTTTTTAAGGAAATACAGCTTGAGTAGCCATGTGTGCTGAGCAGTGGTGTTTGAAAAAGTGGGAATGTGTTACTGCAATCATAGGGAAGGAGAAGGAGATGGGATTAGTACATATTGCCCATTGCTTCCATTATTTCAGTTGGAGTGAGATGGAGGTGTGCAAACTTGTAGCAGTTGGGTGGTTTCAGTGAGGCACCTGAAATTAGAAACCACTTTTAATAAACACTGTATAAATAACATTAGTATGAGGGATTAAAGAAAGAGCCCTGAAGGAATTTAAGGGCATAGGGTTGATGGGTTCTCCTTACAACACTCCTTCAGACCTGTGACCAAATCCCACCATTTACCCTGCAGTATTACTTACTCTGCTGTGCCAAGGCAGTTGTCTTTTTTGGAAGAGGTAACAGTTGCACATATGTACCATATTTTAAGAATGATTGACTGGCTTCAAGGAATCAGTTTTAGTTACACCTAGGTAATTCTGCTAACTAATAAATATACTTAGCACTAACCTCTTTGTGGACACTCAGAAATATCTGCACACACAGTCAGAAGGATTTTCTGTGCTTTTAACTCATTTTTTTTCCATGCTAATGTCAGCATTGGGATCCACTGTTCTCCGGTAAAGGTAGAAGTGGCATTGTTTCTCTTTCTAGGACACAACGTTCTGTCTGCACATTTCTACCTCTGAATTCCCAGCGAGGCTTCACCTAGAAGGTACTGACATAAATTATTTATATTGTGTTTTGAAGGTTCCCTGTGATCATATAAAATATATTCCATTTGAAAGTGTTTTTCATAATCAAATTTGCTTTTAGCATTTAAGCCATACAGTTGTGCTGAATGCACTTGCATAGAGCATACCCTTTCAAGTAACTTTTGTGTTAAGAACCTTAAATCAGATCTGCTTAACAAATGTTCAATGAACATGTTCTCTGCTGCTCCTGTGGTAGTGCAGTGTTGTGAGAACACTTTCTACAGAAAGGCAAACTGCAAGCAGTTTGGACCTGAGAGTGGTTAGCAATCTGTGAAACACAAGTCAAGGCTCTGCTGTGAATTCCTCTACAAAGCTGTTATGTGATCCTAAGGAAGTCGCATTGCTTGTCCATTCCTGTGTCTTCCCCATGTCTCATCTGCTGACAGTACTCTACTTAACATGTTTCCTTTGGAAGGTAGTAAATATAGCATTTTATGGTCCAAAACTGTACATTTTCCAACTCATTTTATACCATTTGGATTAGACAAGACATATGAAAAAGAATTTGGTCTTTACCTGTTGGTATCACACAACCTGAGCCAGTCTTACAAAGAAATTATCTCCTGCATAAACAAGCCACAGACATATAACCTCATGAGGATGTTTGCTCAACATATGGTTTTGAAAATGCAGCTCACTGTCTTCAGGCATTGTGTTAAATATGTCTTGCTCAAAAGTATCAAATGCATTCCAGTGGACAATTACTAATTGCCATGAGAATATAAAATTCATGAGCATGTTACATCTTACAGAACAAAAACTACCACAAAACTCCTACATTTGATACTGATACCTCACCCTGAAGATTTCTTAGTCAGCCGCTGATGAATTCTGCTTAGAAAGTTAAAGTGCTGTTTATTTATGCCTTGTTTGTCTGCATAATAGAAGGTAGCAGTTTGATTTTGACTGAGTACCACCATACGCCTTGTGCTGCAAAGTAGTAATTGAGTTGATAAAGTTTCTCGGAAAAAATTCCACTGTTTGCAACTTTAAAAATCATGTTGAATGATTTTAAAAATGCAAGTTTGCTTTTCCTCAAGTTTAGTTACAGAAACCATTTAACTGCTTAGACCTTCAGAAAATCAGTCTTTCCTAATAATGTATAAAGATTCTGCTCAGTACTATGCACTACATATATGTGTGTGTATATCAACTTACATAAAGTGTTCATGCAAAACCTTATCTTCAAAATGTGACATGAAATATGGTCACTAGCACACATGCCAGTAGGCTGTGCAGTGGAGGCAATGCACTGATAGCTGCCCTAGCTTTCCCTGTAAATCTGAGGTGGCATTCACTATATTAATCTACATCTGCACAACCTATGCAGGCTGTGCCACACACAGCACAAAATGCTTCATCTACTAAATGTATTTTACAGAGATTTCCATGGGGAAGGAAGCATCTAAATACCTTAGGAGCTCTGCAATCAAATATATGGCAATTCTGAGATTTTTCAAATGGTCCTGTATTTGCTTCCTTTTGAAAATGTAGCTGGTTAATGCCTGTGCCCGTCATTCAGACAAACAGCTATTCTGTTGAGCATTGCTGATCAGCTGGCTGTGATCCAAAAGCAGAGCTCCCACTTCGCCAGGCTCTGCCGTGCCGCAGCCAGCGATGGACTCTCCTGGCTGTGATATCTTCTGTTTCCTGATCAATGCCATTCCACTAAGCAAAAAGAAATACAGTATTCATAGGAAGGGAGTAAGCAAGGAGCTGTGTCTCTGTTTCTCAATGATGCTAGCCTGCAAGAAGGAATGCAGACACCAGGATTTTGGTCTCCACTATCCTTTTCAGTATGCTACACATAACCCAGGACCTAAGAGGGAAAAGGAAATCTCTTTTCAGATAGCAAATTCCATATTTAGAAATTAGCATCAAGTCCTGTTTCTGTGCCAAGCAGCTCCTGGCTAGCTGAAGAACCTATCTTGCTACTCCCACCTGTGGATCTTGTGGGATGAAACTAGGTACAGATTTCTTTAAATGGTCTCTTTAAATGAAAAAACAATCTTCTTGGTCTCCTAGAAAGATTTTGATAGTTTGGGCATCATTTTCCATGAAGGATTTGTCCAAGACACATAATCTACTGTCTGCTAAGTAGTTGAAAGCTTTGGGGCCTTAAAATGACCATTAAGTAGTATCTATAAAGCTCAATATTTGTCTCAGCTAAATATCTGTGCATGCTGCTGCTCTTATCATTTAGCAGCACTGTTAAGCACTGTCTCAGAGAAATTTTACTGTTGCATCACCTCAACTCATCTGCAGTTGCAGATTAAACAAGCAGGAAAGCAAAGCTTTCTCTACATGTTTTGCAGCTCATATGCTATAATCATTACAAGGACAAAATAAATGGAGAGGGGGAGTGGGGAGAGAGCATGAGGGTGTGAGCAATAAGTATAGCTGTAAGCCTGTTTTCTTTGTGCATTTTAATAGAGATCTCCTGCTACACTGAAGCCTGTATGTGGCTCAGTAATAGCCTCCTCTGTGCTGCTCTAGCCACGACTCATCATTTGCTGCATGTCTAGTACTAAAGGCTGGACCCTGCCTCCTTACACAGTGTCTTAACCTTGCCTTGCCCTTCTACCCCACAACAGCTGCTTTGTTTCCTTTCACTAACAGTCAGACATTACAAATTCCTTCCCTCTAAAGCCATTATAACAGAACCGGCACCACCCCAAGTGGTTTCAGAACTAACTGATTTAGATGCTGGAATCTGCTGCAAGGCCAAAAATAACTCCCCATTTCTTTCTCCTTCATTGGTGAAAGTAAGAGAGAAAGTGGCCAATGACAGAGACACAAATCCCCTGTAGGCATCGGAGACAAATCTATTTTGTGTCAGAAAAAAAAATAATGCTCTTGAAAAATGTTTCTTTGCTCAGGCCAATAGATACAGACCTGCTGCATGCAATTTTGCTGAACCGATGGTATCACTTGAATGGCTCACAGACTACATAAAATGCATTACATAATTATATTTTTAAACACTGTCCCCAGCTGTGCTGATGCACATAAAAGCTGTGTTTACAATGGACTCTGCACATGTAATTATTTTGTGGCACTAACTCTGTGCATTTCCTTGATGGATGCTCCACGGTGCATAAAATTGTAGCTTTTATCATAGATTCTTGAATGTATTCTTTGGATGTTTCAGCTTTAAATACTTTGTTGTCCTCACATGGGTGAACAGGACTGATGCCTGGAAGGGCTAAATTATTACATCTGAGGGAACACCTTTAAGTCCTCCGGGAGCAGCAGAGGGGGAAACATGATGAGTGTTGGATTTGAGGCACCTGGGTCACTGGAAGCACTGAGCAGCAGAGCCGGCTGCTCCTTCATGAGAGGTTTCCTGTGTTGATCTTCTGGATAGAGCAAGGGCCCTGCACCTATTTGGCCTGCACAGGTTCATCCCAAGCTAATTAATGCTGCATCAACCCAGATGCTTTGTAGGACAGGGAAGCTAAACAATGCCTGGTGCCCGTGTGAGTGCAGGAGCAAAGGGGCTGGAGGCTGCCCGTGCGGAGTCAAACAGAACATGGCCTGGACTGTTGGGATCAAAGAACAGCTTTGATTAATTTCTATTCTGTTTGTATACAGTGAGTGAGCTCCCAGCATTTCACTGTGAGCTCTCCCTTCTCTGTTCTCCATGCAGTTGTGGAATACCAGGCATTTCTTCATGCTAGAGCAGTAGTTGATGCATAGGACCCAGCAAAGAAGACAGTGTGTATTTATTTTAGATCTGTTCCAATATTCTTGAGTATTAATATCACTGTGAAAACCTAGATGCTGAAAGGATTGGTACATAACACAGTCCAAGAGTTTTGCCTGCCAAACAATAACACTTGGAAATAAATAAAGACAAAAAGTAATACAATATCTTGAACAACAGCTTCAAAATTATGGAAGAGCAGCATCATGGGTAGCTACCTTTATTTTTTTTTTTACTATTGCTGCAAAGAACTGGCAGACTTTTATTGTCAATAAGCAAAATGGTTTGGCATTTTACCTCTCATGTCTGGCTAACCTTAGGTATAAGACTGCACAAAGGAAATGCAGGTTTTATTGTAAACTAGTTTTTAATGGCAGATGTTTGTTGGAAATCAGGTCCGCTTTCTGGTAATAGATGGCTTGAATTCCTTTGTTATCATTCCTTGCCCTTTTCAGTCCTCTGTTTGGTCATGGAAGTTGGAAGCCTATGCTTTCCCAAGGACAGTTGCACCATTTAAAGTAGTAATTGGTCTAATGCCAGTAGTGATCAAATTGTTCCAAAGCAAATGGCTTGACTGTTGGTAAACCAAGTTTTCCACTCTCACATGAATATAGTCTTCTCCCATCATAGAAACTCTTCAGCTATGGATGTCCTTAGCATTCCCTCTCTTTGGCATGTGAAGTTTACATACCAGCTTCTAGGCTGTTGATGCATTTTGCACCAAAATGTCAGGTGATGGAAGAACAATCTCCGGAGTGGAAAAAATGTGGAACTGCATAAGTTTATTGTATGTTCGTTTGCATAGTCTACCTTTCAGATAAACCTTATCCCTGTAAGTGTACTGGTACTTGAAAAAGAGTCCTTGAATAACCTGCACAAAAGCTGAACCACCAGAGGTGCTACTTTGGAAAAGCAAGCAGAGGAAGGTATCAGAAACAAGGCAGAGGAAATGCTTCTGGAGTAAGCACCCCCTGGTATTGTTCAATATATGTCTCTATCCTGTTTTTGCAACACAAGGTGTTATTATTTTATTAGAGATAACATGGCTTGTACATATGAAAAGAGGGTACATTTCTCACTGGGTAAGACAGACATACATTACTGAAGTATGTATTATTTTCTAAAAGGGCTTATTTCCTTCTAGTCCCTTACTCTAGAGAGCCCTGCTGAAAGTCTGTCAGCCATCTAGGCCAAAATATGTTTTTCAAATATGTGATCATCTTATACAAATCAACATAATTCCATGTGCTTTCA